GAACAGTGATGATCCGTCTCCTGCAGGAGGGGCCCTCTCTTTACTCAATCTGTGCTCTCCAGGTGTATGAAAGGCTTCTATGGAAACCCTGTTCTGGGCTCTGGGGATCACTGCCGGCCGTGTCCCTGTCCAGGGAACCCAGGGAGCGCTCACTCGAACGGGGAATCCTGTTACGCTGACCCTTCGTCCAACCAAGTCATCTGCAATTGCAAACAAGGATACGCAGGTGAGGACGCAGGGAATATGAGACCGCTCCCAAAGCATGGACGGAAATGACAGAAAAAGGGGAAGTTATAACGGGTGGTGAGGTGGATAGCTCTGCTGTCTCACAGCTTCTGGGTCCTGGGCTGGGGTGCAGCTTCTGTATCGAGTTAGCATGTCCCCTCCTTGTCCAAGAGGGGTTTCTCAAGAGTGCTCTGGTTTTCTCCTGTAGCATCCCTCCCCCCCCACAAAGATATGCTTTCCAGGTTAATTATCATCTCTGAGCGGACACCCTGGCATCCTGTCCAGACTACAGCCCTGCCTCATGCTGGGTGAGGCTGTGGCTCAGTGCAGCTCCTTAAAAGTAAACTGGTTATTGAAATGAATTGAAAATGAATGGAAGGGAGCTTATGAGCTCAAGGTGGAAGAAACAACAATTGTGTGCACAGTAGGGAAAATACCTTCTCATTAGGACTGAAGTGTAGTGTCAATAAGAATGAGTAGCCTCGCATTCAAAAAGAGCACCATGTTCTTCCCACATGGGCCTGTGTCGTGAAGAACATTTAACCACCCAATTTGCAAATGAAAAAATGCCTATTATTTGGTTCATTGATCTCAATTTACAAACTGGTCAAAAAAGCCGCTGCTCATGTTTTGCTGATCTGATCTGAAACCTAAACCCGTAAACCTCCCCCAGGCTGAATCTGTTTTCTCTTCCGCAGGCCCCCGCTGTGACCGATGCGCCTCTGGGTATTTTGGGAACCCAGAGAGAGCTGGTGGAGAGTGTCGGCCTTGCCAGTGCAATGGCAACATCGACACTCTGGACCCGGGCTCGTGTGACCCCCGGACGGGCCAGTGTCTGAAGTGTCTCTACAACACAGATGGACCGACCTGCGGGGAGTGTAGGCCCGGTTACTATGGCAACGCCCTGATACCTCAGAACTGCAGGCGTAAGTTGCAGCTTTTTTTCCCTTGTTTTCTCCCCACCCCCCCCCCTGTCTATTTAATTTTAAAATCTCTAGTCACAGGTGGAAAGATGTCGTTGTTGTGGTCTTCGCACAACTCACAGTGGGCATTTTTCTTTAACACTGTTCTAGACCGTAGCAAGGGGGCATTTTCTGTCATGTCTGATGATATTTGTACCTGTGCCTCGTCTCCCTCATGCTTTTTAGAAGTGGAAGCATTTGCCTATGTCTCATCAAGGATCACTTGGGGATCTAGATTGCTTTGTTTCTTTTTACCGGGCTATTCCTTTTGTATACTGGTATTGTAGTCTTGTCTGTATTTCCTCATGGATGCATGTGAAACAATGTTCATGCCCCATCTGCCTTCTAGGCTGCACATGTGCTGCTGTGGGCACCCTGCAGTCTCAATGCCAAGGAGACCTGTGCTACTGTGACAAGAAAACAGGGGCGTGCCCCTGCCGGCCCAGCGTCATTGGGCAGAACTGCGATCAGTGTGCACCCCAGCACTGGAATTTGGGCAGGGACCTTGGCTGTGAGCCCTGTGCCTGCCACCTCCAACACTCCCTGCGTGCTGACTGCAATATGGTAAAGCAACAGGGGATCACTGTCTCTACGGGCTTACTGCCTCAACGATGGGGAAGCTTTCAAAGCTTTCCAAAAATGCTCCTGATTTCTACAGTTTGCGGTACAAAAATTCAAATCTAGCAACAGACAGAGCCCACAGGTGTCCCAGCACAATCCTGGCTTATGCTGGTGACCTTCATTCAGAAAGAAAGTAATACGCACTATTAAGTAAAAAATGTAGTATTTGTTTAGAACTTATGGAGAGCCTTCTAATGAAAAACTCAATAATTCAAAGCGTACTCAATTTCCCAGATTTACCATTGAAGATTTTTTTTAAAAATGACTTCTAATTCTAATGTCCGGTCTTTTCACATGAAAGACAATGATCTTACTAGCTTACTAGAAGTGTAAACTACTTGTGGAATGAATTAGGGAGAACGTACAGTTTTAAGCCCCTTCATTCACAAATTGCATAGGAAAATCATAGGAATTAGAAAAAAGCAGGTCCTTAAGCAGGGAAGTCTAGAGGATTTTTGTAATATTTCTGATTATTTTTTTTCACGATTATGCTGCCTTCCATGCTCCATTACCACTGCCTTTTAACTTTAAGCTCTGCATTCTCTATTACAAATGTCACCTTTGTTGGTAAAGAGCTGCGCTACAGAATTTTTTTTTTTGTCAGTGTTACAGAAAAGGTACTGCTTAGTTAAATACTGTGTATGTTAGCCATACAAAATTTAATAAAGTACCCATTTCTGCTATAACGAAATCTATTTTCTTTGTTTTTTGTGTTTCTTGGAATTCCAACCATTCTCCAGTTTACCGGACAATGTCACTGCCGGCCTGGGTTTGGAGGACGAGTGTGTTCTGAGTGCCAGGAGGATTACTGGGGAGACCCCACCACAGAGTGCAAAGGTACCCCTGGATGCAGCTGCTAACCCATTCATATTCTACAGATACTATCACCGATGG